CTGACCCTTCACTTTCTCAACATTTTCATCGGTTGTTAATGTTCTAGAGCATCTAGGGCGAGGTTATATCACTTGTAAACATGTTTCTGACTCAGTACGTTTCAAGTATTTCTGATCACTTAATTCCATTTCTTACACGAAATTTCATGCAAACGTTTATGTTTAAAAAAAAATGTTCATTCAAAATATGTTTTTCCGTTTACCAGCTATCGTACCTCTACGAACAACAACCCTCAGAAGTCTAAACTTGTGCAAGCTGAGGACTAACGAGGTCTTACCTTTTACCGTGTGCTTCCTAACATATGATTCTTTGTGTGGTAAATTAGAATATCACCTGCCACTGGTTAGCTATGCATAAAAAACTGAATGTTATTTTGTTTTATTATTTTTTCTTATGTTGAACAGGTTTTTGGTGTTCGAGGTCGATTCTCGAGATTCAATAAAATGTAACTGAAGTGTATGCGTCTTATTCAAAACATTAAAGATTATTATACAAAAACACTACAATTGGCGACGAGGAAAACATTTTCGAGGGAAGTGGTTTCTAAATCAAAATGTCACACGGCAAAATAAATGAGTTCCAAATTGGATCGAGCTGGAAAACATACGTGGCTCGCTTAAAACAGTATTTCATAGCAAACGGTATTTCCGACGAACTAAAGGTACCTACCTTAATCACGGTCGTTGGGGATACTACCTACGAATTAATGGTGGATTTGTGTAGCCCCGATGCCCCAGAAGACAAATCTTACGAAACCCTTGTTGAAATTGTGAAAAATCATCTGGAGCCGGATCCTTCCGTTTTCGCAGAAAGACACAAATTTCGGTTGAAACGACAAAACGGGGAGGAAACAGTGGCAGAGTATATGGCGGCTCTAAAAAATTTGGCTAAAACGTGTGATTTTAAAGACTCCCTAGAAGAAAATCTACGAGATCAGTTTGTTTCCGGGTTATACAATGATACTATTAAACAACGGTTATTTTCTGAAAAGTTTCTGAATTATGCTCGAGCTTATGAAATCGCACGGAACATGGAAGCTGCTGAAAAACAAGTATCCAGTGTGGTAGGACCCTCTGAGATACATAAAATAAACCAGATGCCACAGAAAATATTTTCTAGACCAAGCACCATTTCGGAAGAATTTCATAGAGGTAATCAACGGCCATCATCATCTTCAAAGACTACAAGGGATAGAAAGCAGAAAATAACCCGTGAATGTGAGGGTTTGCGGTAGGCAAAATCATCATACAAGTGAGTGTTTTTATAGAAATTACAGTTGTGAAATATGTACAATAAAAGGACATCTCAAAAATGTATGTAGGCAATATCAAAGAAATAAAAACCGAAATGATTATTTCATTAAAGATAAAATTGAACAAGAATCGAAATGCGATGATTCAGTAATTTTCAATGACTCTGATACATCTGTCAATTTGTATACCGTTTTTGCTAATAACAAATATAGTCCGATAAAAGTAAAAATTAAAATTGAAAATATATCATTAGATATGGAAGTTGATACTGGTTCAGCGGTTTCTTTGATTTCTGAAAGCTTTTATTTGCAACATTTAAATCATATACCTATTTCGGAGGCAAAAATCAAATTGTCTCCTTATATAGAAACTTTAGGATATATTGTTGTTAAGGTTACCATCGAAAGAATCTCTCTGCCTCTGAATCTTTACATAATTCCGAGGGGAGGCCCACCTCTCATCGGTCGAAAATGGCGAATTTAGACCCATTGCACATGCATCACGTACTTTAAATAAATCGGAAAGAAACTACAGCCAAATTGACAAAGAAGCATTGAGTATCATATTTGATGTGGCTGAAGTTAGCTTTAGATTTAAATCCGATTCTTTCGATTTTACAGTTGACCAGATGAATAATGCTCATAATGATAGTTTCTCGAACCTTGAGGCCCTAGAAGTACTGAAAACTGCTTGCGTGACTAGAACATGTATATTAGTATGTTAATAACAGGTAGAACTCTAATTCAACCATTCAGACTGTGACGCAGCGGGCTCGTAAATACTGTCATGGTATAAAATTTCTGAAAAATATTGGAATTTACCGGTTCTATTTCGAGTATGTGGAGAACTTCTTTCGAATTGGGTACCGCTGCTTCGGTGTGTGGGAGGAACATTGACAACAATGGATTACATGTCTTGTTAATCACTACATGAAGTAAAAGTTCAATCCAAGGTATCTTATTACTTGCTGTTTTTCACATCTAGAATATATTTCTCATTAGCCGAATTATGTCACTGTCAACTGACATGACTCATTCAATGATCATTTTCGCAAACAAGAACGTTGTTTCTGTCATACACGAGAGAGCTTCAAAAAACTGAAATGCATGAGCTCACATACATTTCACACCCATATCAACGAGGAATGAAATGGAACATCTGTTTGAAAAATGCATTATGAACCCACATTTTTTAGTGTTTCTGATATATATGGTTAATTGTATGGGTCAAAACAGTCCTGTTAGAAATTTTTTTATGGCTGAAATAACGATGGATGCGGTTATCAGACTCCTGAGTATATCGTAACGATGTCTTACAAAGAATTGATGATATCAGTAATACATTTCACAACTCATCTTTCAACTCAAAGTTACCACAGGTGTCTCAAAATATCATTAGCATGATGACATGTATTCTTCATCTGTTTGCTCAGAAATATTTATTCTCTATCATTTTGTAACATAGTATCAGTTAGAGTTTAAAAAAACCCACTTTTTGTGAAGGAAATCAGACTATTCACTGATTGGAAAGAGCGCCGGAAGTCAAATGAATTCTAATTTTACGATTACCATTTCAAATAATTCACATGGAACAATTGAACAGCAATCTCATAACAAATAGTGATTGATCAATATTCATAGCCAAAATTTCATTTCGCCCTATCTACCCAAATATCAGATGAAAATAGCCCACTGAGAGTAAAAATAATGATTCTGGTTAGACTACAGGATGCTCAATGACTTCATCAGAAAAGACAGTTACCCTCTTCCCAGAATAGATGAGACTCTGAACTTCTTGGCTGAATGCAAATGCAACATTAGATCTGAAAAGTGGATATTGGCAGGTGGCCGTTCGCCCCGAGGATATCTTTATCCTCGGGGCAGTCTTCTCTTGAAGACTGCCTTTCCCACTGGCAGTTTGAGCTCATGCCTTTCGGATTACGCAATGCACTCTTAACCCTACCCACAATCTTCCTGGAGATATGCTGGCTCTATCTTGATGAGATCATAGTCACCGAAAGAAGTTTTGACGAACATCTGTCTAATTCGAAGTGGGTTTTCTTAAGGCTCCAGATTGCTCTTTTGCGGATCAATCCCAAGAATTGCTGCCTCTTTCAGAAAAAAGTTGATTTCATCCAAAAGGAGTTGGAACAGATCCAGGGAAAATCGATGCAGTGCAAGAATGGCGAAAACCAAAGAGCAAGAACGACGTAAGAAGCTTCCTTGTACCATATAGCTATCACCAACATTTCGTGAAAGATTTAAAAAAATTCAGTCCGCTGCATAGCTTGACTGAAAGAAGAACACCCTCTGTTTGGTCCTTAGACTGTCAACAAACATTTCATGCCCTGAAGAAGCATTCAATCAGCGCACCGGTCCTGGCATACCCAGAAGAGGAGGACTTGTTTAGACTCGACATGGATGCATCCCAACATGGGTCAATTGCCACCTATCCACCTAGACATAAAGGAGTGGTGTGAGCGCTGTGATCCGTGGTCTTCGAAAAAGGATTCGAAAACAAGGTGAAGAAGAAGGTTGAAGCAGTACCTCAGTAGGTGACCTATTGAAAAAATTGCAGTTGACATTTTGGGACCACTTTCTATTAACACATCCGGTAACAAGTACCCTATGGTTGTGATGGATTATTTCTCTGATTGGCCTGAAGTAGAAAGCCTTATCTAACCAAGAGGCTGAAACGGTGAAAGAAACTATGTTGCATATAGTGATCACCAAAAATGGAGTACCTCGATAGTTGAACTCAGATTGGGGCCGCATCTTCGAATCGAATTATGGAATGGACGAGAGTCACAATCGCACCAAAAGAAAATAAAAATTACTACCTCTCGATATTTGTCTCCGAAAACCAAAGAGACTGGGATGAATAGTTCATCTTTCTTCTGTTGGCATACAGCAGCTCTCAACATGATGCGACAGGTTGCACACTATCTATTTCGTTAACTGTCCAGAACTGAAGCTTCCGATAGATGTATTGTGTGGCAGTATCTCAAGAAAAACCTCTTTCTGAGTATGAGAATGACCTGGAGGAGATATTGGAAATCATACACTTTGCCAGATCCGAATTACATTTTTCCAGCGATAGGATATAGATGCGAGTTGACAATAAGTCGCTGCTGATGAGCCTCAAGGAGGGCGATGCAATGTGGCTCTACCAACCCCAACGTCGGTAAGGTTCGGATCACAAATTGCAGAGACCATGGTTACCAAAAATATAAACTATTCGGTGTACAGAATCCCATTGTCACTCAGGAGCAAGTCTGATGTCGTCCACATAGAGAGACTGAGTCCTTACATGAGTCTCGATGTTTTCTCTTGAAATATTGTTCAGGGCGAACAACTTCAGAGAGGGGGAAATGTTGTGAGCCATCCCCTAAAAAAATAACACCGACCGCCGCTGGTTGTCATCAGTCAATTGTGACGTGGTCAAGACCGCGTGCGACGTTCGGTTCGCGTTTCTTCTAATTGAACAAAGCGTTGGTTTGGTAGAACTCCAGCTAATTCCATATTGGCTTCGAGAGAATCCGATTACCATATTTTAACGCCTCTCACGCCCCGATCGAGAAGTCAAGTCGAGTTCAGCAGACAGTGCGGTACAGAGCGACCTAATAAGGCGATAGACATTAGAATAATAGTTAAAGTTCATGTTGAAATGTTCAGTTGTATGAACAGTGAAATAAAGTTGACATTGGTTATTGTAAAGGGTAGTCAATTATTTTCAAACCAACTGGGAAAACGTAACAATATATTTGGTTTCAGTGATAGATGCAAAATTGTCACTGTGTCGTAAAAATTCTGGAAGTGAAAACATTCTCAACATTCATTCGAGTCATGAATCCGACTTAAAAAATAATTCGAAAGTTTTTCGTATCAGCAATTTTCTCATATCATCATGATAATAACATTTTTATAGTACGATTCAATCACTTCGAAAAACACTCTTCATGTATTTGAATTTGGTAGTATCATTGGCAACTAAACTATCACTGTGCAGAATGTTTTCACCAAATTTGTATCTTTCACTATTCAAAAGTTGATATCACATATTCCGAAGCAAGTATACTTTCGCAATTCATTGAATTATTTCACAATATTTGACTCAATAGTATCCATAAAATATTTCAGATTTAGGATACACAAAGTATTCAAACACTGTCCAACAAGTGATGCATCATGAGTGGGGTTGGAGCCGGGTTTGTGCTTTTTTGTTTCCTCACTTGCACTTCATAAGGCCGTGTACTTGAGTCGATAGAATAATTTTTGGGTCCCATCTTACTACCTCGATCTTGAGTGGTGCTATTTTTCTTGGAACAAGGGGTTATGTTATTCATATTCTGAAAAACAATGAAGTGTGACTGATAACTTTTCATTCATGAAGGAAAGACAATATCTGAATATCCATCAAATATAACATTGTGAAAAAAAACAACGGAATTCTAGAACGACAACTACTAATCTGAAGAAAAATAAAAAAGAATCACTGTACATTAGGAAAATGCTGTTTTTTTTCTCCGAAATTTTTATAGTGTTCGTCTACTGAACTTATACAGGGTGTTTATTGTTTTCGAATAACACAGTAGAATGATACTCGAATATGCTACGATAGATTTGCATCAAATATACGCCATCACTTAGAATATTTACCTGATATTGGCTTGAATATTTTTATGTTATTTCTATGTTTCTTTCTGATAAAGAGTTAATCAGTTTGATGAACTAGAATATAAATAAAAAATATACAAAAATGGCAAAAAATACATCTCTGGTAATTTTTCAACCCATTATTTTTGAATTGATACAAAACTAATGCGATATATTGCTGAACTCTTTTCTTATCTTTCCTCAAAGAATTACAAAACAGCAAAATATACACTTTGAGAGATATGATGTCGGTTAAATAAGCAAAATGTTGTTCATTTCGAAGATTTTTCAAATAGCATTTCAAAGTTCAGGAGATTCCAATCAGGTGTAATACATCAATCAAATTATCACCAGAAAGGCCGAATTTTAAATAATCAAAATTGATAATGTTTTTTTCGGAAATGAAACTCTGGATTTGGAAAGTGGCATTTGGAAAGTGTTTTTTATTCTTGAATTGGCGAATTTTTTTTCCGAATGCCTCCCTAATTTCAAAAAGTCATTTGGCTAAGCTTTGAAGTGGGCAAATTTTTTTATAATTCAACTAACTTTGTATTTCTCATGGTTTTGGATTATTCCCTACTAGCTCTCTTTATCTTGGACAGACAGTATACTATTTACTGATGCAGTGTCAAATAAATATCAAGAAAGCGATTTCAAGGAATCTCATCACTATAGTCACCAGAAAATCAAAGAGATGTTCAACGTTTCCAATTTTTACTCACGTTATGAAGATCTACGTTATAATTTCTTGCTTTGGTGATGAGTTCACTCTTCAGTTGCCAGCCCTGCAGATACAAATGTAATCCTAATAAAAGTTGTCCCTTGCTATCTCTTTTAATGACTTGCCATCTGTAATAAAAATATTGATAGTGAATGGAATCACCTTCAGTAATTATTTCGGTTTATCATTGCCATTTTAATCGAGACAGTTTTCTTTATGACCTAGAATGGCATTTACTGAAATTACCAAAATTAGTTTTGACAGTGACTACATCAAGAAATTTGGAAAGATTTCACATAAATTCAATAACAGTTTTGATAATTTTGAATCACTATCACGATTAGAAATCAACTATATTATACACAATTCTTCATCCGAAAAAGATTGATACTCTGAAATGAAAAAAATTCAAACACTTTTTAAAACATCACAATTAGCTTCAGTGATGAAAGAAGTGTTTTATTTGACTATTCACCAACAGGCACAAGGCTTGAATTCCATCAAATTAAATAACTGAATTAAAATAATTTACCAATTTCATGAATTTTATTCCAGATATTACACATTTTCAAGGTGAAAGAAAAACTTTTACCTTGTTGTCAATTGAAACAGTCTCGATGATTGACCTATTCTTCTAAGGATTTTTGCAGCTCCTATAAGTGCTTCTTGATGAGACGGAGATATCTGAAGTGATTTCCAGTAATGCGTGATCCCATCCTGATATCTTCCTGTTTCGGAAAAAGGTATATGAACATCAATATATTTCAGTTTATGTTGGATCTATTTTAATCGCCATTTCTAATACATTTCTATGATAAAAAAAGAACCATGCTTCAATTTTTACCAAATGTTTGAAAATAAATATAAGGCTTCCATGAAATTACCTTAAGAATATTCCAAAAAACGAAAGTCATTTGTGATACATACATTTGTAGGCAGTCAAACACTTCTGATCATACCTCTTCGGACGAAGAGGTATGATCATTTACCATTTACTTTGTTATTTTCAGTAGGAGATTTGAGCCGGTTCTAAGCCTCCCCCCACCACTATGACGTATTAATTTTTTGTTGTTGTTGTTTAGTGAAGTCAAGGCGATGTGACTTTGAAGTGTCTGGTGCATGGATCGTTCAGAATTTTTTTTCCGGTTCTAAGTCTCCCCTCACCACTATGACGTATTAATTGCTTTTTGTTATTGTTTAGTGAAGTCAAGGCGATGTGACCTTGAAGTGTCTGGTGCATGAATCGTTCAATTTTTTTTTTTCATATGATAATGTGTGTGTGTGAGAGAGAGAATGCACGGTACAGGGTTTCATTATGTGCTTGTCTATGTACAAACATACGTCTGCATACTTCGAAGATCCTTCAAGTAATGAATGTGACATCACAGCAGCAGCAACCGTTTAACGGTAAGAGAGCAAGATGTTCACTCCACGACGTGTGGCTGAGTAATGCGTATTCATCGGTGTGCCCTCACCTCTCTCGATGTGGAGAAGGCTGTGACGTAACGCGTCGCTCTAGTCTCGCTATCGATGGTGACACGCAGGCGGATTGTATGAATAATGTAGCCCTGAAAAGGGCTGTTGTTTTTGTTTTTTGACCAGTAGGTCCACGGTTATTGTGTAACAGATTTGACATTATTGCATATTATACATGTCGACACTCGGGTGAAGTTTGTTAGGCGTCTCTCGCAACCATCGCACCAATTAAGTCCCATTTCCATCATGGAAACGTTGTTGTGGGTGTTAACTAACTATTTTTTCGTGACACTTCCTGAAGAAGATATATATGTTATAGTGATGATTCATTATAACTCATAACAGTGGAAAGAGATAACCAGACAGCCGACAGTGTTTTACAATTTACCTACATTTGTCAGACATGATATTGACAGTTGACAGTATCATTGTTTTATGTTATTGGGCATTGTTTTCGTCAGTTTTACAGTATTTTGCAGTCAAATATATTATAAAAATAGTTTTTTTCAAAGCTAAACGTCTCTTGGCATCATTACTTTCAAAGTAAATACAATACAATGTGTTTTATTCATAAATGTTCTTCAATATTTCCAACCTCACAATTGACATTTGTGACTATAATTCCGCATTATCGGGATATTATACAATAGTAATTGGGATTGTGGAAACAATAATGAGATAAATAACATTAATTAAATCTATGAAGTCATGCCAAAACATGTACAATATATTTATATTCCTTTTTAGATTATGCCTGGAAGTATTCTTAATTCACAAATACAAAAATTTGTGTTGAACTTGTGCAAATATTTTGAAACAGAGAGAGCGCTTGGAGGACCTTTTTCACCATGTTCATCTGTTCAAGAGGTAACTATTAAAATGATAAAAGAAATGTCATAACTTTTCTCAACTGTATTTAAGAGAGTTGCAGATGCACTTAAAATATCTAAAAAAAAAGGTGTTCAACATCAAACAAAGAAATACACAAACCCATTCCATCAACTCCAGGAAAAAGTAGACATCGTTTCAAAAAGAAAACATCTGATTTACCTGTAGGGCAGAAAATGGAAGGACGATATACTCTGTACGATATGTATAAAGACAGTGAGTACACCTCCTCAATACATGGTGAAGGAAAGACGGTACAAATTGACTGTTCAGATTTCTATATGATAAAAATGTTATTGCACCTGTTTTCTGTTTGAGTGTGTTGCGTCGGGACTCCTGATTCTAGCTATACCATTGGTTGAATTTTGACAAATGTCATTTTAAACCAATGAAATTAAGTGTATCATCGGTGCAGCATACTCTCAAAAAGAAAGCAGATTTAATTCGATGTGAGAAAAATTTCTAAACCAATATAATCCCCCATTTTCATCAGTCACAACTGTATCAGGAAAGGCCTTGGATGTATGCTAATTAGTTAACTAGTCAGACTTTATTGTCAAATATATATTTTTTTTAACATTTGAAGGTTCACTTGTATCTCGTATTTGAAGTGTAGTTATCATATCAATTCTCCTATTCTATGAATTTCGAAATGTAATTATGTTAATTTGAATATTTTCTTCCAGAAAAAAAATCTCACCCTTCGATCTTTGAACGATGAGCTGAAAAATAAAGAAATTGTTTCTATGTGCAAATCGTCTTTGAATGTTTTACTGAAAGAGCTGGGATTTAAATTTGGAAAATATGATAATCGAAGAGCTTTGATTGAAAGACCTAATATCGTTTCACAATGAGCATTTTTTTTACGCAAATACCGGGAAAACCGAAGAAGTTTAAAACCACGAGAAGTGGTTTTCTTAGATGAAACATGGATATATTCTAGAGGAAATAAAAAAAAGTCTTGGTAGGATAATAATGTAAAAAGTATACGCAAACCCGAAGGATATGATGGTAAACGATTTATTGTTGTGTATGCTGGTTCTATGAAAGGGTTTATTCCAGAAGCCAGTTTATTGTTCTGTTCAAAATTTTTGACCTTAGATTTCCATGGAGAAATGAATAGTACAATGTTCACCAAGTGGATTACTTTACAGTTACTTCCCAGTTTGGACGAACCATCTTCAATTATAATGGACAATGCACCATACCACAGTGAAATTTTGAATGAACAGCCTACCAGTTCTTCAAGAAAATCGGAAATTGTTAGTTGGTTACACGAAAACAACATTGATTTTGATGAAAAAAATTAACAAAACCAGAATTATTGCAATTGGCTAAGACGAACCGAAAGGAAAATATATATATATTATAGATGAACTGGTACGAGAACATGGACATGAAGTATTAAGATTATCACCTTACCACCCAAATCTTAATGCTATTGAATGAATTTCGGCTGATTGCAAAACCTTCTTTAACAAATATATTGGTAGAGATGGATACAGTGATGAAACAGTATTAAGTATGTGGAATGAAGCGTTAGAGAAGTGCAACGCTGAAACCTGGGCAAAATGTGTGAAACACACCGAATCACTCATAGAAAAATGGTATGATCGAGAAAAGCTTCTTTGTGATATGGATATTACACCTATTATTATAAACATTAGTGAAAGTTTTGAATCTGAAAGTGATTAATATATTTTTTTTTCATAAATGGTAGGTGCATAATTGTACATGCTCGCAATGCATACATATATGTATAAATAAATTTTTAGTTGATGATGTATTGAGTATTTCCTGACCAAATATATTTCAACTGGTGTTTTTTTTACTTCTTAGACATTCATTTGTGTCTCTGCATCCATGCACGGATGATTCAATGGAAGCTCGTTTGTTAAGCTAATTTTCAAGTGATATTTGATACCATTTGTGATGTGATGTGTTGCATACTTCCTGGGATTCTCAAAAATCATATTTGATATTGGGTTTTCTACTGACGGAAAGATGGCGCCACCTATCACTCTTTTGAAAAATGAAACGATTCGATTATTTTTT